TACGAAATCAGACATTCTTTTATCTTTTATTACGTAAAAAATAAAAGCAATATTTGTTTTGTTAATTATTCACTTTTTAAAGAATACAATATGGAAAAAGATCACGGTTCAGTATTCAAGTTGATTCTTATTATTTGAGTCTTAAGTATAATCTAACTAATTATATGTATAATTAAAATAAAATCATAACTAAGATAAAAATAAATTCATAGTAAACTAATTATAACAAAGCATTAATGTTTTAACATTACTTGTAAATACTAGTCAAGAATTTGATACAAGTGAGCGAAGCGCGCGCGCCGGCCCTGAGCGCCACTTACACCAGAACGCCTATTGGTTTACTTCAACCTGCTCTCCTTCAAAAACTACTTATCGCACGCAATTTTGCTAAAGGAAAAAGTTATTTCTTTTAGCCTAAAGTATCACGCCTTGTACTCCGTGGGCGCGAATTTAGGGACACCCTGTATATATCAATTTATGAGAATGTATTTGTTATTTTACGCGTGCGTGCGTGTGTATGTGTGTGTTTAAATATATAAAATAATTATATCTCTCTATTTATCAAGCTATAATATATTTCTCTCTTATGTTTTATAGATATAAATGGTCTGCTCGCAGAGAGAGAGGAAGAATGCAGAGCAGAGGAGGAGGAGGTTTTAGAAGAGGAAGCAGATTTTTTAGAAGAGAAGGAGGAGGAAGAGGAAGAGGAAGAGGCCGCGGAAATATAATTTTTAATTATAATTTTTAATTTTTTAAATAATAATATAATATTTATTTTTTTTAATTCTTTTTTTAAATTTTCTATAAATTTTTTTTATTTTTTTCTATTAAAGTAAAGATGTAAAAATAGTATTATAAAAATAGTATTATAATTTAATAAATTTATTAAAATTTAATAAAAGTCTAATTTTATTTTGTAGTCTAATTTGTAGTATAGTTAGAAAACACTGATTATTTTAGTTATTTTATTTCATTATTTTATTGCACTTTAAAATCTTCATACTATTATTTTATTTAAATATGTTTTATATATGAACATGTAAGACATATTGCTTACTTTCTAAAATCACATTTTCATATTTGTAAAAATAACATTGTATTATATTAAATATATTACAATACATATTAAAATATATTACAATACATATTAAAATAAAATAATAATATAAAGTTGTATAGAGTGATTCTGAACAAACGTTTATCTTTAAAATATTAAATTCTTGAATGAATTCTAAAATGATTTTTCCTCTTGAAAAATTTTGCCCACAGTTTAGTTTTTAAATGTTTTATGAAAAAAAATAGTTAATTAATTACGGAACGAGTACGAGAAGTAGGTAGGGACGTCGCGATATAAACGATTTCGTGGGGCGCTCGCCGCGATCAGCTGATTGCTACACTCATGAATTGATGTAGATTCGACCAACATTTCTCATTGGGATATAATCACTTATATCGCGCCGTCCCTGCCTACTTTTCGTACTCATTCCGTTATTAATTCGAACTATTTTCCTTTATAGTTTAAAAACTAAGCTCCGGACAAAATTTTGCAATAGGAAAAATCGTCTTAGAAATCATTCATGAATTTGATATTTTAAAGACAACAAACGTTTGTTTCGAATCATCCTGTATATATATATGTAATTTTATACACAATAATCTTGGTGTCAATTGTTAGCTACTCATAGAGCATTTCCAGGAGACGCCACGTGGAGGCCAATTGACACATAACTCGAAATTCTTAAAAATATAAACATAATATTTGCTAATAAAAAATATAAAAATGTTAATATCTTGCATTTAAAATTAATATATAAAAAAAGTAAAAAATTATGTTTTAATTCTAAAAAATTCCGAGTTAACTGTCTCCCAATTTATTCGATCTGCCATAAAGCCACGAATTTTTACATATTTTATACTCGTTCCGCATAAAATGCCGCGAGTAAATGTAAAATAGTCAGATCGTACCGCTCGAAGAGCCGCGATCGTTTTACTCGTTCCGCATAAAATGCCGCGAGTAAATATAAAATAGTCAGATCGTACCGCTCGAAGAGCCGCGATCGTTTTACTCGTTCCGCATAAAATGCCGCGAGTAAATGTAAAATAGTCAGATCGTACCGCTCGAAGAGCCGCGATCGTTTTACTCGTTCCGCATTAAATGCCGCGAGTAAATGAAAAATAGTCAGATCGTACCGCTCGAAGAGCCGCGATCGTTTTACTCGTTCCGCATAAAATGCCGCGAGTAAATGTAAAATAGTCAGATCGTACCGCTCGAAGAGCCGCGATCGTTTTACTCGTTCCGCATAAAATGCCGCGAGTAAATGTAAAATAGTCAGATCGTACCGCTCGAAGAGCCGCGATCGTTTTACTCGTTCCGCATTAAATGCCGCGAGTAAATGAAAAATAGTCAGATCGTACCGCTCGAAGAGCCGCGATCGTTTTATATACGTAGTAATGATGATTTATTTTTTACATATGTTTTATGTTCTTTAGTTTTTGACATTTTGTCTTTATTTCTTTTGATCTTCCAGATACTGTATTTATTTCTTCTCTTCCTCCATTATTATTCTTTTTTGTAATTGCATATATCTTGACTCTTAACATAAAGTCTAACATTTGAATTCTATGTGAATAACACTCGTTGATCTGATTAAACCAATCTTCATCAGTATGCTGGACGTGTTTAACACAAATCTCAAGAAGCTTTTTCTTCACATCTTTGAAATACCAATACTTCTTGTAACATGAATTTATTGCTTCAAGTTGTAGAGTAATAATATTCAAAAATGAATCCGTTGGTCTTGATAGCCACTCTATTTCAGGATCATCTTCGTCTTCATGTTCATATTCACGTAGCTGAATATAGATTTCATTGTCGTTTAATTCTTCCATCGGTGTTTTCAAATTTTTTTCACGGCAGCTGTGGCACTTTGTATTCTTGTAACCGTAGCGAGCAATATATCCTGCGAAATATGAAATTGCATTTCTTTCATATGCCTCTGAATGTAAGTTCTCCTTGTTGGTCTTTGTTATTTCATCTAGATAGTCGGAATTGTGTTCCGAATATTTTGTAATTTCTTCAAAGGCTGTCGCGATGAGATTATCACAGTCGTCATCCATTTCAGTTAAACAAATTAATTCTTCTTGTAATGGAATATTGTTATTTTCCAATTCACGAACTACCGATGTACCATCCGTTAATGAAGACGTTTCTTGACAAGTTACATTTCCTTTGTCGCTTCCATAAATATATCCACTTGATAAAATATGCCGCAACGTTAACCGTACCATTCTAGCAGTTGGATTACGGTTAAATCCTCCTCGTCCTTTAATTTTTCCAAATGTATGTTCTACAGAATCTTGGTTGCATAGTGCAGTAGCAAGCCTGAAATCCGGATAATGTTGTTTAATGGAACGATACATTGATAAAATTGATTTCACGGTCGTAATCATTCCATCAAAGCAGGGAGGTCTCGAAATCTTGTTGGGGGAAGTACTCCACTTTGAACACCATTCAACAAAAGACGTTAATAATTCTTCAACCATTAAATTATCATCTGATAATGGACCCTTTTCTCCTTTCCAATTATTTAAATGATAGACATTCATAGCATCTATTACTTTATTCATTTTGTAAACAAATTCTGCAGATGCTTTCCATGAAGAACTTTTTAATGTATTGCTTTGCCCTGCTGTTGATATTGCTGCAGCAAATCTTGCACTTAACATTTGAAATGCTCTTTTCACATTCATAACTTCAAAATTGTTTGGATAAAAATGCGCGTAGGTAATGTGATTCAATAAATTTGAAGTATTTAATTGTCTGTCAATTTGCCATGTTGCAAATAAATCATGAAAAGACATAATAATTTCGCCATTCACATAAATGTACTTATGAGATCTCAACTGACTAATCAATCGCTTGATAAGATGAGGCCAATCAAAAGAAGCAAAATAAGTTTCATTGTTCAATTGAAAAGACGTGGAGAAATTTTCATGTGGAGAAATTTTCCAAATATTAAAAGCTTTTCTATTTGGTCCACCTTGGTCACATGTAATTATCTGCACATTTGCTCCTACATCTTTCAATTTTTGTAAACACATCTCCGTGAGTTCAATAATCTCCTTATGTGTTGTACTTTTTCCAGTCAAAAAGTATGCTACTATTTCAGCGACGGATTAACACTAGAGGCAAACCTAGGCATTTGCCTAGGGCGGCAAATTTGAGGGGGCGGCAAATTTTCAAAGACAGAAAATTTTCGCCGCCTCTGGCCGCTTGAGGCTCGACAGCCGAGCCGACGACGGCCGAGCCGCCGACGACTCTACCAATGACGAGCGGTTATCAAGCCTCGAGCCTCGAGCCGCTCGAGCGATAGTGGGGAGATATTAGGCGACGAAGCGAGAAGCGACCATAGACTTATACAAATAGACTGCGCATGCAATGCAAAGCGCTGGGGGCAACATAGGAGTGGTGGGGATAGCGCTTGTGGGCTTCCGTCTCTTTCTAACCGCATGCTGTCTCTCTCCATCGTGGAAAGTGGTGGGGCGGCGCTCAGCATTTAATTCCGAGCATTGTTGTAATGCGACGCGCGATTGATTCCTACTCTTCCTACTTCCTACTTCCTACTGCAATAATTCGCCGCCGCGAGACATATCATTCAGCTCGCCGCAGAACATTGATTGTTATTTAAAACATCGATATTTTTCGATATTTCTCCATGACTATTTTCAATTTTTAATTCATTAACCAGGTTTTCTCATGATTCTGGATTATTATTCATAGGCCTTTATTGTCATAAGATATTTTCTCTGAAAATTGCGAAGTTGCAAAGTCATAGTAGATCACTCTAATAAAGTTTTCATTTTTCAAGATTTTGAGTTTTTCGTTTCTGGACGATTAAAAGTTTTAACTTGAGACGACCCGAATTTGGCGGGTTAAAATATTTATAAATATGTCCGGAAGGAAGAAATTAAGTGGATATCAATATAAAAAAAATGCATTAATGAAGAAAGAGCGCGAAAATGAGGTCTTATCTAAAATGCGCAAATTAGATTCATTTGTTTCACCTGGAAATGATTCTAAAGTTACAAATAGTAGTAATGATGAATACGTTGAATCTAGTAAAAACGTTATGACAATAGTTAATATTGAAAAAACTGATATTCTAGTTGCAAGCACATCAGAGACTACCACTACTTCCGAGAACGATTGCATGGACGTGAATAAATCACACGAAATTACGGATAATAATGAATCGCGTAATTCAGAAAACGATTGCATAGACGTGGATATATCACATGAAATTACAGATAATTATGAATCGCATAATTCAGAAATTCAAAACAAAGAAGTATTTCCGATAATTAGTAATGATCCAGCAAAGTGGATATTGAATGATTTTACAATTGAATACTTATCCACACATAATATTCAACAAAATATAAATGTCGATTTTGATTTTGGGAATTCTAAAAGATATTATGGTAATACAAGTCGTACTTTAACAAAAAATGTTTTTGAGCGGCGTCTTCTAAATGGTGAGATAATGCCTAGAAAATATCTTATATATTCAGAAAGCAAGGGAGCTGTGTTCTGTGCCCCGTGTAGACTATTTGGAGGAACCTCCAGTCTGGCAACGAATGGTTACGATGACTGGAAAAATGTCGAATACGCGAACATGAAAATTCAACTGAGCACAAAACATGTGAACTTAAAATGATAAAAAGAAGTAACATTTCTGAAAGAATTGATGCTGATTTAGAATTTCAATTGCAAGGAGAAATAAATTATTGGACAAATGTATTGAAAAGAGTTGTGTCAGTTGTGAAAAAACTTTCAAGTAGAGGACTTGCTTTTCGAGGCAGGGATGAAAAATTTGGGTCACTTCATAATGGTAACTACATGATGGCTCTTGAACTTATAGCAGAATTTGATTCATTTTTAGCTAACCATATAAAAAATTATGGAAATGCAGGTCGCGGAATAGTCTCTTATCTTTCTTCTCAAACATGCAATGAATTTGTAAAATTGATGGCAACAGAAGTGAGTGCACAAATTATTACAGAAGTAAAGAAAGCCAAATATTTTTCAATTAGCGTTGATTCAACTCCCGATATATCGCATATTGATCAATTATCTTTTATATTAAGATATGTAAACGACAATGATGGTATGCCGGTAGAACGTTTTCTTTGTTTTTTACCAAATACTGGTCATAAATCTGAACAATTAGCTAATGCTGTCTTTTCTACGTTAGTTAATTATGATTTGGACATTGCGAACTGCCGAGGGCAGTCCTATGATAATGCCAGTAACATGTCTGGCCGATATAACGGATTGCAAGCAAGAATAAAAAATAAAAATCAATATGCGCTATACGTGCCATGTTCTGCGCATTCTTTAAATTTGATTGGCGTATGCGCAGCAGAAAGTTGTCATGAAGCATGTAATTTTTTTTCAATTCTCCAGCATCTTTACACATTTTTTTCTGCGTCAACTCACCGGTGGGAGATATTGTTATCCACTTTAAAACCAGACAATATAGTAATAAAAAGAATGTCTGATACTCGATGGTCATCTCGAGCGGAAGCTTGTCGCAGTTTGATTGAAAACTGGGATTCCATAATTAAAGCTTTAAATACAATAAATTTAAATACTGCCGAGAAACCGGCTACTCGTAATGAAGCTGCAGGACTATTGAAACAAATGAGTCGATTTGAAACTATCTTTATGGCTGTATTTTGGAACTCAATAATGGAGCGATTTCAAATAACTAGCAAAAAATTGCAAGCTGTTGATATTGACATACAAACAGTTGTGGAACTTTATAGTTCATTAACAGGATACATTAAATCACTACGAAATTTATTTGATATGTTTGAAGAGAAAGCAAAGAAAAAATCTGAAGTCGAAGATTATGAATTCGACACAAGACGAAAAAGAAAGCGTAAACTTCCATTTGATGAGATATCGGAAATTGAAACGGAAATCTGTGGTAAAGAACAGTTTAGACGAGATACATTTTTTGTTATAATAGACCGTATAAGTTCAGAATTAGAACGTAGAGGTAATGCATATAAAGATATTTTTGAAAGATTTGAATGGTTATCTAAAATTACTTCGATATCAACTGCGGATTTAATAGATAACGCTAAAAAATTACAACAGTACTACCCTTTAGATTTAGAAGAATCGTTTGTTGATGAGTGCCTACATTTTCGAGCGTATTTGGAAAGTACCAATATACTCGAAAATGAAAGACATTCCCTTTTGAGTTATAGTAAACTTCTTCGAACTCGAAATATACATTCTATATATCCAAATATCGATATAGCTTGTCGAATATTTGTTTGCACGCCGGTTACAAACTGCTCTTCAGAACGGTCATTTTCCGCGTTAAAAAGAATTAAAAACTGTTTAAGGGCTAATTTGGGTGATAACCAATTAAATAATTTTTCTATTCTGACAATTGAAAGTGATCTAACAATCTCAACAGATTTTAATAAATTAATCAGTGACTTTGCAGCAAAGAAGTATAGAAAGAAACAAATACAATAAAAACAAGTAAGTAACAAAAATGTATTAAAAAAAGATAAAAACAAATTAAAATATATTAAATATAAAATATAAAAAATAAGAATAAAAAAAATTAAAAATAAAAAAATACAAAAAAAGATTAAAAAAAATAAAAAAATAAAAAACTAAAAAACTAAAAAAAAATAAAAAAAATAAAAAAACTAAAAAGAAAGGAGTGCAAAACCCTATCTGCAAACCTCCTCGTGGTGCACTCTGGGGTCGTGAAAATATTAAAAAATATATTATGTTTTCACCAGCTAATGCAGGGGTAACAGAAAATTGATACATATTTTGTACTTTTTTTTTTTTTTTTTGCTTTCCGGTTCTACATCTGACACTGCGACTATACCTTGGATTAGGGGCGGCAAAATGTACGCTGCCTAGGGGCGCCAAAATGTTTAATCCGTCGCTGTACTATTTGCCGCCAAGGATTCTCCGCATTAATGCTATCAAGGCAAAATAGTAGAATATGTCCCGCTTGTTCATCGCGTCGTCCCAGAGGTCCGAGATCTACTAATCCTTCGATGATATCATATTTTCGACTGTACTCTTCAAATTTTTTAATTGACATCTCATCGAATTTTAAACAGCCAACTCTTTGAGAAGGTGGTAATTTAGACAAATTTTCTCGAATTTTATAAAATATTTCTTCACAAAATCCTGGTCGAATTTCTGTTTCTGATATCCAATTCTTGACAGAAGATTCTGATGGGAGATTTAGTCCAGCCTTTCTCATCCGTGAATATCCACTTGCGGAATAATAAAACATTTGTTTTGCTAAATCTTTTTCTTCTTTTGTATATTCTTTTCGTCTCTTATGAAACTGAAGTTTTATCATAGTTCTCGCAAGTGGTTTTAAACATTTCTTTCCATTTAAAAATTCATTTAGACTGTGTTTGCAAACGTTCTTGTTTTTCTGAATTGCAATATTGCGCTGTTTCAACATATAAGTCATATTTTTTTGTTTTCTCTTCTTCTCCATAAGAAGTTTTTTCAGTCTCAAATTTTCTTTTTTTAACTTTTCAATTTCGGAGAATTCATCTTTCTTATACACTTTTTCAGAAGCAGACTTTTTTTGCGTTTTTACTCGCCTTTTTATCATGTTCGCTTTCACTTCTTTCTGCGAGTAATTATCCAAAAATAGTGGAAGTGGATTTTCATTATTAAACTACTCATCGTCTGCGAAGTCATTTCCGAAATTATAGAAAAGTTCTTTTCCGGAAGGGTAACATCTCTTACGTGTCGTTATTTTTTTTTTAGCTACTTCTTCATTTGTATTGTTATTGTTTATTTCTTCAACATTTACTTGAAAATCGCCATGCGTTTCGACTTCCATTGGAATGCAGTCTTGATTATCCGAATGGTTTACATTTTCTTGTATAATATTTTCATTAATTTTGCCTTCTTCTGTAATTTTTTCAGCATTATCTTTCACAAAATGTGTAATGTCAGTCTCCTTTGGGATCCACGGTATGGGATTCTTTCTAATATGTAATTTTGTACAGCTTATAAAATCTTCTTTATTAAAGTGGTCTGCACATAATCCTGCTTTTTGTATTGATGCTGGGGACCACTTAAGTAACTTTTCATTACCTGTTTAAATATAAATCTATAGTTAAATTTATACACTGAAAAAACATTTTAACCTTTAACCATTTAACATAAAATGAAATAGCAAACAAATTCATAAAAATGTTTTTAAAAAGTTTAGAAAGCATTTTTTAAAACATTAAAATAGTTATGTAACTTTTTATTTATTAAAAAAATTTTAATTTTAACATTGAAATAATGTAACAATGAAATTTTTTACATGTTTTAAGAAACATTACTTTTTAAAAATTACTTAAATTTATTTTACATTTGAAACTCCCACGATTTTTATTATTAAATAAAAAGACATATTTATACTTCAACAATATATTTTTAATATTTAATGACTTAATAGATACGAGATTTCAGCACATACGTAAGCACGTGTTTTAAGTTAATTCGTATGCGAACTTTTCGTTGAATATCCCTTGTAAATAATATTTTTTATATATTTTATACTTGAAATTTCGAAATCTTTTTTTGTTATAAGACCTAAAGAAAGATACATGTTCGATCAGTATCAGTAAAAATAGTAATTTAGAGATCCTAGATTTCAAACTTGGGCTGTTAAGTTTTTCTTAGTTTTTTAATTAAAAAATTTTTTAAATTATTTTATACATGTAATATATGTATAATTTATTACATAAAAATAAATATATATTCGGCAAATATATATTGTTAGATACGCTTATATATTTCCTTATATATTTAAAATACATAAAATTAACGTAATATAAAAAAGTATTTTTATAGAGTAATATTTTTAATAATATTTTTACTTTTTAAAGATATAATAAATAATTTAAAAATAAAATAAATAAAGAAATAAGACGTTTTTTTTTTATTTTTTATATTTTTCGCACCGGTTGATAGAAATAATAAAAACATGAAAAATATTCCTTTGTAAAAATATTTTCTTTATATTACGATTATTTTATGCATTTTATATTTTATATTATATATATTAGAAGATATATTCGTATCTAACAATAAATATATGCCGAATATTTATTTCTACATAATAAATATTACATATATGACATATAAAATATTAAAAAAATAAAAATAATTATGATAGCTCGAGTTTTAAATCTAGGATCCCTGGATTAAAAAAATATTACAAGGCGCATTGGACGAAAAGCTCGAATACAGATCAACTTAATTTTAATACAGATTCACCACAAGAAAGGAGATCAAAATTGATGAAAATCAACCGCAATCCTTGATAGTGCACTTTAAAAAATTTTAATTAAATTTCATTAAACAAAATTACTTGAAATTTTTAAGACAGTTTCTTCATTTTTCACACAATCGTTTCTTCATTTTTCACACAATTAAGCTTTTTTATAATCATCAATTATTTTTGGTGTTTTCAAGAATTTTGTTCACTGATCAATGGCCAGCAAGATAAGATCTTTAATTTGAGGTGAGCAAAAGCCAATAAACATAAAATAAGAAGAAAAAAAGAATTTTGTATTTTTACTTACCACAATTTCTTATCCAAATGTCAAATCTTTCATCAGTCTTCTGTGGAAAACGAAACAATTTACAATTTTCTGATTTGATATTATTACAGTTTTTGTATGCACATCTGTCGAATATCGTGATTTTCTTCACATTATTTTTATCCATTTTGATCTACGAAAAGTACCTGAAACAATGGAAAACAAACCACAAACCGCAAACAAAAAACGCCGAAAAAGCACGCAGTTTCCGCGAATCTTCGGTTTTATCGAAATTACAATTTCGTTAAAACTGTAGATTCGTAAAATCGGATCACTATACACACACACACACACACACGTCACACTATACACAATAATTATTTCAATAACAACGATAAAAAATCGTAAGATATTGAAAATCGCAAACAAAAGCACAATGAGAATTCGTTTTATGAGACACAGTAGATGTGATCACTCAAGAACGCCAGAAGCTTGTGAGCTCGCCGCGATAAGACAAAACAATTGCGTGTCGATTTCATTGTTAAATCTGTTGAAACGCGGCGCTTTAATTCTTCCGACGTTTGCGACGTTTCTTTAAAGATTTTATTTTTTCCCGTTTCAAAGATCTTTTCCGCGAGCAAAGTTCGGAAATGGATAATTAAATTTTTATACTTTATAATTTGTAATCCTCGATAATTTCAATAATTTTCTGTTTAAAAGTTATTAATTTTCTATTGCCAATTTGTTTATTTTTTCGCTTATTTTCTCACATACTTTTTTCCATTGCACTTTTGCTTACAGTTTTCAGTAAACAATTTTTTTTTGTAGTTACTGAAAATTATTATTAGTAATTATATACTTATGCAGTGATCTGAATAATCTATAATTTAGTCGAAATTGTAGAGATTTTTTTTTAAATCACGAAATTCACGGAAATTGCGTGCTTTCTCGGTATTTACCGTTCGCGGTACGCAGTTTATTTTCGATTGTTGCAAGCGTTTTTCTTTGGATTAAAATAGATTACGATAATGTGTGAAAAAAATCACAAAATATTCGACAGATGTGCACATAGAAATTGTAATAATGTCATATCATAAAATTGTAAATTATTTCGTTTTCCACTGAAGATTAATAAAAGATTTAACATTTGTATAAGAAACTGCGGTAAATAAAAATATAAAATTTTTGAAAATATGTACCAAAAATATTTGATGATAATGAAAAAGGTAAACGTTGTGAAAAATAAAGAACTTAAAAATTGCGCTAAGAAATAAATGGGCTATGTGAGCCATACGGATATGAGGTGCGTTATATCAAACTTTAATTAAAGAATTGAAAATTAATTTCAACTTTAAAAGTCTTGGAAATGTTCAAACAAATTTTTTGTGCCTCATGCACATTTAAAAGTTATATCGAAAAATTAAATTTTTATATAACGTGCCTTACATCCGCGCACAGCTCACATAGCCCTTTTATTTCTTATAGTTTATTTTAATATAAGAAGCTTTTAAATTCTTTATGTTAAAAATGTCAAGTGATTTTCTTTAATAAAATGTAATTAAAAATTTTGGAACACCGTGTTGAATAATAAAATAACAAATGTATAATGTGCAAAATATTTAAAAAGATTTATTTCACATTTAAAATAATGATTTTTTAAATAAAAAAGCATTTCATATATAAAAAAATTTATTTGTAATATTTAATAAATTTTATATATATGTAAACTTCTCTCTCTCTCTCTCTCTCTCTCTCTCTCTCTCTCTCTCTCTCTCTCTCTCTTTCTCACTCCCTCTCTCTCATACACATACACGCACGCATAAATAAATAAATTTAATGTATAAGAAAGATTTTGTCCAACTTGCCAAAATATATGTTTATAAAACAAAACAATATAGATGCAAATATACAATTAATTACATGTGATTCAGACGGAGCAAACAGAACAACTTTTAGTAATTTAACAATTTCTTTGCAATGCACGGTATGTGAGTGGCAGGGATCGGCAAAATATTATTAAAAAGTTAATATTATTTAATTACTCAAATAATCAATTTAGAAATTTTTTTTATTATTTGAATAATTAAAGTAGAAAATTATTTAATTACTTAGATAATCAGTAATCAAAATAAAAAATTATTTGATTATTTAAATAATCAATAATCAAAATAAAAATTATTTGATTATTTGAATAATCAGTAATTAAAGTAAAAATTTCAGTAATCAAACCTTAAAATTTTTTAATTATTCAGTTATTAAAGTCAGATTAATTAGGTTCTTTCATTATTTAGTTTATAGTTAATCAAAGAACATCTGACCCTAATTTGATTATTTATATAGTTAATCAATGAACATCTGATCCTATATAATTACTGAATAATTAAAAATTTTTGAAGTTTGATTACTAAAATTTTTACTTTTATTACTGATTATTCAAATAATCAAATAATTTTTTATTTTGATTACTGATTATCTAAGTAATCAAATAATTTTTTAAATTGATTACTAATTATTCGAGCTATCAAGTAATATTAATTTTTTAACAATTTTTTGTCCATCTCTGGTGAGTGGGTGCGAGCGGGAGCCAAATCTCTCACCTCTCATTCGTCTCATAATCGATTAGCCTGGATTCGCACCAGGGGCAAAGTCTGTTGATAAAATCAAAGGAATTTAGCCTGGACTCGCACCAGGGACAAAGTCTTTTGGTAAAGTCAACGAAATTTAGCACGGACTCGAACCAGGGGCAAAGTGTGTCGGTAAGGGGCAAAGTCTGTAGCACAGAAATGGCGGTCTAGTCTTTACCCGGGTCATTGGCTATCTGTCTATTAATCTGTGGTATAAGTATAAATAAAATTAACTAAAAAATGAAAATTATCTCTTTAAAATATCAAAAATTAAATCAGTTATTCGTTTTTCTTTTTTGCTTCGTATGTTGCGATATTAAAGGACGTTTCAGCGATTATGAGTTCCCAATGCACTACAGCTAATGCAAATTATTTATCTTGGAATAAATCTTCACGGAAAAATGCCAATATAAGCAATAAAATTATTTCCTTAATTTTCCCCTTTCAGCAGCTCTTCTTAACCATCCTTGAATAAATTTTTCCGCTTCTTTGGTTGTTTCACAATATCGTCCTTTTTGTGATGCACCTATTTAAAATAATATATTATTATTAAAATCAAACATAAAATTAGTTAATTTACAACAAAATGAGAGATGAATATCCATATATTAGTTTTCATTGAATTTATTTTTGTTTGAAATTTTTATTTGAAACTTTTCTAGAATGTAATACTCACTTATTAAAAGTTTGCAAATGTTGAGATTACAAAAGGATTTTTTCTTTTTTCTTCCAAAAAAAACTATATTTATCTGCAATCTCATTAGTTAGCATCATGGATAAAGCTCTTCTAATGAATTCATATCCATTATTCCCTCCTATTTGTATCAACTCATTCATCTAAAAAATAAATAAATGTTGCTTACAAACTAAATATAATTTAAAAAAAAGAACATTTTACATATAAAAAGTCTTAATAGAAATATTTATTTCATTTAATTTATTTTACTACATGATTAACTTAAAAATAATTTACATTATATACATATTTACATTATATGCATATACTATATAATATAAATTATTTTTAAAATAAATAAATATAAGCTTAACTTTAATTACCGCTTTAGTAATTTCATCATCATTCTCTAGAATGAGTTCCACTGTCTGAAGATCTTTTTCAGTTTTAAGCGAAAAATGTACATCTTTATTATTGAATATTGAAATTATTTCTTCCTTTTCTTTGGTACTTGTTTCTTGAGAGTTAGTTTTTAGTTGCAGTTTAATTTCTTTAACTTCAGACAATATGTCAATAACAATACTTCGTATTAAATAATTTTGAGCCACTAAATTCTTAGCAGTCTTCTCTGAAAAAGTCATTTCAATTTATATTTAAATTTACTAGTCATTACACATACGCACGCGCGTGTGTGCGTGTATATGTATGTGTAATGACTAGTAAATAATGTTTATTACCATCAAGTTTCTTTCTCTTACTAGAGCAAGCTGAACTGCATGGCGTACCTACAGAAAAATTTGTATGTATATTAACCAATTCTTGTAAAAAAATTAATTTTTTAAATAAAAATATTTAATTTTCTATTATTTCTTAAACACTGTCGATATAGTGTTTCTCGAAATTATTTCTATAAATATGTATAAGACTATAAAAGAAAAATAAAATTGTATATAAAATACACTTACTAACTGGCGTTGTTTCATAATATCGTGATGAATCAACATTTTCACTAAGAATTGAATTATCTGTAAAAAGTATTTTTAAAATATAAGATATATATATACAGGGTCTACCAAAAGTGTGGAAACCCCTAAATATCTCGGAAAATATACGTTTTACAGAAAAGTGTTTCCAACAAAAGTTGTAGGGTTTAAGAAGATCTATATACTGATTCTATCAGTTTGACCTTGGATGGCGTCGTCAAGGTCAGGTCAAGGTCACATTGACTTTTTTAAATGACACCCCCTACATTTGATTGCATATTCTTATAGCTTAATTCAAGAGCTTTCCAAAACACTATAATAATGTTCATTTTTATTAAGTACTTTGCGAGTTATGAGGGTTGAATGATAGAGTAGCGCCGGTATTAACATTATCCAAGGTGTACTACATGGAGGTTACTCGCTCGGATTTGCATCTGTTGTGTGTGTGATCCAGCTAACTAAGGCAAGATCGGTCGTGGATCCAGTCAGCAAAAGCAAAGACCCAACCAAATTACAATCGAGCATTTAAAGACCTGGAAAGCAATCGACATAGTAAACAGTAAATAAATTTGTGGATGCTCATTTATCATAATAATTGTTCGAAATGTGTGCGTGTGCGTGCGTGCGGTGCGTGTATACAGAGATCAGGTTAGGTTGCACCAAACGATTGCAAATGTGTTTCAATGTGTTAAAGTAAATGCTGAAAGTGGCTGCCATTTACTTCCTGACAATATGCTAATCTTTGGTAGAATGTAGAAATGACTTTACGATTCGTTTCAAAAGGTATCAAAGCCATTTCATCCCTTATTCGCTGTATCAATTCGTGAATGGTTTTAGGTTTTGTTCTGTAAACCTTACTCTTCAGATATCTCCATAGATAATAATCAAGAGGAGTTAGATCTGGTGACCGAGGTGGCCAATCCTCTCCTCCCTCATTTCCGTTCCTTCTTCCTATCCACCGTAGCGGAAAAGTCTCATTTAAAATACGACGTGGTCCTGCACCAAAATGAGCAGGAGCTCCATCATGCTGAAACCATATTTCTTGGAAATTATTTGGAAAAGTATTCTGTATGGCTGGAATTATTTGATCAACAAGTAATCTCTCATACCTTTGAGCGTTCAAATATTCTTCAAAAAAAAACGGCCCTATTAAATAGCCATCTATTATTCCGCACCATACATTTATTTTTTGTGGATGTTGTGTGTGAGTTTCCCGCACCCAATTCGGATTCTCATCTGACCAGAAACGAAAATTTTGATTATTAACTTCTCCCGTTAAGGTAAAAGTTGCCTCGTCTGTGAAAACAATTTGATAAGGGAAGATGGGCCGGACATCTATTAGTGCCATCATTCTTTCACAGAAATGTATACGACGCTCCTCATCTCCGTTTTGCAATTCTTGAACGTATTGCAATTTATATGGATGGAACTTGTTCTTCTTTAAAATTCTCCAAACCGACATGGGAGCAATATCGTGAGTTTGAGCGACTCTCTGAACACTAGAATTGGGATCTTCAATAAATGTCTGCAGAACATCAAGTTGTTTTTCTTCGTTGGTTGCAGACAATGGTCTTCCTGACTTAGAGCGATTTCTTACGCTACCAGTTTGTCTAAAACGTTCTATTGTTTTTAACACAGTGGACTTATTAATTCGACGGTTCGGATACGTGTCATTAAATAATCGAACGACATCAGAGAACGATCTTTCGTTATCACCCCATCCACGCATCATGAGGATAGTGATTCTTTCACGTTCCGACAAGTCGCCAGCCATTTTTAAAACGTTTAATTTTAATTAATCGTACGTTGTATTTGGACGATAACAATTAATTTCTGCTTGCTCAAAGCTGAAGTTAGAAGGTGCTCGTTCTTTGATAGCTTTATACATTCTTAGTTGAATTTTAAATGCGAGTTAGACTGCATGTAGTGCGTCACATAGCGGTAAATGAAGGAACTAACGAGACGTTTCATACACGTTTTATGGAGCAATTTTTTGGCAATTTGACTTCAGCGAAATATGAGGATATGTTGAGGAATCGATCTTGCCTTAGTTAGCTGGATCACACACACAACAGATGCAAATCCGAGCGAGTAACCTCCATGTAGTACACCTTGGATAATGTTAATACCGGCGCTACTCTATCATTCAACCCTCATAACTCGCAAAGTACTTAATAAAAATGAACATTATTATAGTGTTTTGGAAAGCTCTTGAATTAAGCTATAAGAATATGCAATCAAATGTAGGGGGTGTCATTTAAAAAAGTTAATGTGACCTTGACCTGACCTTGACGACGCCATCCAAGGTCAAACTGATAGAATCAGTATATAGATCTTCTTAAACCCTACAACTTTTGTTGGAAACACTTTTCTGTAAAACGTATATTTTCCGAGATATTTAGGGGTTTCCACACTTTTGGTAAACCCTGTATATATATATTTATATTTATATTTATATTTATATATAAACAATAATATTTATACTATGCACAAATATTAATTAAAATATACGATTAATCAATATATGAATTAATATATAAATATAAAAACTTACTATTTTCTGTATTGTATGAAGACTCATCATATGTAGACTGATTTACGTTAAGTGATGTAGAACTTGCTTTGTTTAAAGAACTAAAGTTATTCTGCTTTATTTTAGTTTTCGTTTGTAATATTGGTGGTTGTGATAATAATGAGGTTTCTAAATCCTCATTATTATCCTCTTCTGATGAAGTAAACATTTTCTGAATTCTTTTTCTTTTAGGGTTTTCTTCTATTTCAGAATTTAAATCACTTGTCACTTCAGCGGTACGTGCTTTTGAGCGAGCTTTGGAATAGTCTTCTATAAAAATTAAAAAATATATTTGTTATATTTTGCATTTATTTTATGTAATCATATAAAAACTAGTAAATACATTTTAGATAAAGTAAAGCAGGTTATGTGAGAGCCTGACGCGTAAATAATGCGTGTAGAGTTTGATTGTTTAATTGTTGCTAAAGAAGACTCGAACAAGAGCTGAAACACAAATAATAAAAAATAAATATCTATTATATACACTTCGCGCATTATTTACCGCGCAAAAGTCTCATGCAGCGCGTTTTACTACATCAATGATATTTTATTTGAGCCTTTCCTTTCAAACTATAACATTTATTTTAAATATAAGAACTCACCAAAAGTAGAATTTCTGAAATTTCTAATTTTATAGCAGGGCCAGCGTGTATTTAAAGATTCATGTTTTCTTATTGCAGTCATTAATTTTTCCTGTGAATATGTAGGCCAATGGCAAAACTGCCCTTGTATCCATGTTGAGGGTACCGCTTCCACAGAACAATCTTCTTCGAATTGAATAACAGTCCACGTTTGTTCACACATCTTCTACATAAACAACTAAAATATAAACAATTTAAATGTAAACAACTCGTAATCAAGAATGTAACCATTTCAATAACTTTAATGGTTAAAAAAAATGAAAAGTAAAGAATAACCATTCATTGACTTTTTTTCTTAACAAATTATAAGCAATGCACAACATCTTTTTATTTCAATATTATAAAAAAAACATTTGTTAATAGCATATATAATAGTAAATATATATAAAACAATTTGTTAATAGAAGGTAATTGCGAAATATATACATATAAGATCAGGAAAATCTTAAATCTTTAAAATTAATTAAATTTAAAAATCAGTTTAAAATCAGTTTAAAGAAGTCAATATAATATTTAAATCAGTTTTAAAAAAATTGAAAAAAGAACGAAACTATTTTTCATAAATTTGAAAACGTTTTTCTGCAGTAAAAAAGATAATACATAGTAATCGTTGATGATAACATTAGCAATTAATGTTTGCATTAGTGTATTAATGGAAATATTATATGTTTTTCTTCCCAATTTAATATCACACATTTAAATGAAATATCTGCTACATTAAATATTTCAAGAGGGCCAATATTGTCAACAGAACAAATTCCAATATCTTTTGATTCGCAGGGACGCGTATAGAAATTTTCAACGATCAAAAACTTTCTGCCAATTAATTTAAAGTCATTATTCCAATGCACAATATTTTCAATTAAAATTATGTCTCCATTTATAAGAGTACAACAACTATTAGGATGATCTATACGCAACACAAAGTCTTGTAAAATAATTTTTTTAAATTGTTTACAAATGTAAAGATTAAGAATCGGACCAGCAAAATGTTCCTTTTCATAAATAGGATATTTTTTCTTTGTCCTTTCTACTATTTGAACTTGATGAAAATTTTGTTCGCTTTTCCTTTTAATTATCTGAGCTAACGGTTTTTCACCTTTGCGAATAGATTTTAAAATACTTTGTAAATAATTTTCAAATGGGAAAACGCTGAAATTGTCTAATGGGCCATGAATTTTTACATCTTCAGAAAGATGCAACAAATTATGAACATTATGAGATATATTTTCTGCACCATATAAAATTTTAAATGTGTTCACAAAATACGAAAGAAGTTTAGAAGCATAATCAATAAAGCATGAGTATTTTGAAGACGTTAATATAATTATTGCAACATGTAAACAAAGAAAATTTATATATCTATTATTATTTAATATTTTTCGAAGTACAACAGGACCAGTATAAAACAAAAATTGCCTAAACTCAGTAGCTTTCCATCTTTTTGCTTCAAGTAATGATCGAGGTTTACGGTTAAATTCTATTGGTATATTTTTAGCTTGATTAATTAAATTGGAAGATATATTTGCAATATCCCGATATGATAATTTTACAGAAGGTTTTCCAAAACACCATAAATTTACTACTAATTTTTTTACGACTCCAAGGCAAATTAAATGCATATAATCTAAGGGGAAAGATTTAATCATATCAAGACCAGGAATCTGTTCTAATAAGCTAGTGCCTTTATGATGATCTTCTTGAACTTTTAATCTGAAATCTGTATCTGTTCTTAAACGTAAATGATTAGTATTAGGAAAGCAGACACGATTATTAATATAAGTACCTTCCTCACAACATTTAGTACACGAATAATAACCCATATGACCAACTGTATAGGTGATATAAGCTTTCGCTACTGCATCAGAAATAAAATGAGAAATTTTGACAGAATAATGTTTAGTATCGATAACAATTCCATTATTAATAACATTTGATATATCTTCAACAAAATCGCTTAAGTAACAGTTAGCATTTTTAGGTTTTTCATAGCCATGATAAATGCCAATCATATCTACATTACTATGATGTTTGACAAGTCGACATAAAATGGGATAAACTTGACTTCCAGAACTTTTTGCCAAAGGCAGACCATCTATATTAATTGCAAGTTCTATAATTCCAGTATTCTTAAAAAAATCATTAGAATCATTTATAAGATTTTTTATACAATTCTCTACACCGAAATGATAATATTGCCCAGGTTCAATAACTTTATTTATAATTGTACGACAAGTATTTAAAAGACTTCGAGCATTTGTGGGTAATTCAGGAATACGAATTTTTAATAATTTTAATAAGTCACTTAATGCTGCATGCGAAATATTATGCGTCAATGACCACTGTCTTAAACTTAATTGTATTATATTTTCTTCGAAATTATTTTCTTTAGTACCATCATGAGGAAAATACTTGTATATATCAAAATTGCTTGAATTTGAAGGTGAATGGGAGAAAAGTGGAAAATATTCACTTGATTTATCAGATTCATAAAAGAACAGATCTGATTCTAAAATGTTTTCAGAAAGTTCTGGTTGCGGTTCTAGTTGTGTGTCATTGCTAAAAATATTTGTTGGTAGGATACTTATATTTGTTGGTTCAGGGGATCTTGTAATAATTGTAGAAGAATTAGGCTCAGAAAAGACTTCTTCTTGGAGACGCTTTCTCTTTGCTCTCATATAATATTTCTTAATTTCGGACATTATTAAATTATCAACTTACAGATGAGAAAATAGATGCTGATGGAACAACAGATTCGCAGAGCTAAAAATAAAATCTACATTTATATAAAAAATATTTTATTCGGTTAATTTTGTAACTAATTTTGTAATTAAATTTAATACAAATTTATTTTTTGTTTTATTTAAAATTTAAAATTTTTTCAATAGCAATATGAATGTATGTATATGAATGTATGTATTATATGAATGTATATATATGAATGTATATGAAATATATCAGCATCAACATCTTAGAGATAAACTATATTAAGTCACTTTGTAAATTTTTAGTAGACTGTTTAAAATTTTTGTTAGTTTCAGATCAATGCTAATTTTCAAATCTTACAAAAATATTTCAGTAAGTGACATTATTATGGATTATGGGTAAATTTTAGTTACATTTAAATTGAAAAATGTTTTACTGCATTCCTTTCGAAAAATATAACTTAATACAGATTACTTCTGAGATGCTGTATAACTTATATGTACAATATATATACATATACATACATATATAATATAATAACTTTTATATGTATATATATATACACACACAAAATATATATATATATGTATACATATACATATTACTAAATGAGACATTGTATATATAAAAAAGCAAAAATTGCTTCAAGAGCACAAAGATTATAAACATATAATTATATAATATTTTACCTTATATTCAATGTTGACTTCCAGAGACAAAACAGTATGTTACCAATGTTGACTTCCAGATAAAACAAAATGTTGTGTTAAATGTTTTTTGTAAAATGTTCCTCCTCCACTGTATGTAACAGATGGTCTGTAATATAAAACTTGATTAAATTATAAGAAAAAGATATGATATAGAAAAATGCAGAATTATATTGTACTATATTCAAAATTTTAAATAAATGTTTTGCGATAAAATTTTAGAGTGTCTTTATGCATGGATGGGATATATATGAAATAAAAATCAATGTGAATTGTTAAAAACGATTAAAGAATTCAGATGATGCATTTCAGAATGTCATATGAAATGATATGTCTTAGGATTAGTTATATTTTTTATTTTATTTGGAATTTTGTTATCCCAGATAGCAAAGCGTTCCTTGACATAAGAAAGGAAATCGTTGCTTGGCACAAGTTTTCCTTCAGTTGCCAAGGAACGCTTTGCTATCTGGGATCATAATCTTACTTTACGGGATCATAACCCTACTTTTCGAAAGACTGAATTTACAAGTACACGGAAAATATTATGAAAAATATATGAAAAAATATGTACGCTAATTAATTTATAATTTTATAGATTTTATTAATGAATATAATAATGAAATAACTGTAAGGATTACCTTCTAGTATATGCGCAACATCTTCTTCGAGAAGGCAAAGGCGGAAAGGATAAGAAAAAATTGAATATCACATACACGTTTTGAGGTGCGTTCGAGGAGAACGTTATTAGCGCTGAAAGCGTCGTTCTATCTTCCTTTAACGTGCAATGAATAACGAACAAAGATAGTATGATGCTTTGAACGCGAATAGCGTCTCCCCGAACGCACCTTAGAAACATAAACAAATGAATGCTCACACGGTGCTTGAAAGAACATTAACAGGCCTGCGTTCGGGAGCCACGCTCTTAGTCTCGGTTTGCAATAAGTATTTTAAGCCCTAAGCTTTTTAAGAAATTGACTAATCATAGTCAAGTATAAGGAGAATACTCAACTGTGATTAATCAATTTCTTCAAGTTTAAAACTTAAATCTCCCATTGTAGACCGGGACTTATTAGCACTCTAAATGAGTGTCCTTGTTCATCTTTTCATAAATAACAAAGATAGAACGACACTCTGACATTAAGAGCGTGGTTCCCAAATCCAACCAAAAAATTAAACAAAATTTAGACGAAATTTTTTTATATATACATAAAACATTTTTAAAACGTCTAAATATAAATATACTTTTAACGTCCAATAATAAACATTTTTAAAACATCTAAATATTAATATACTTTGAATGTCCAATAATGGATATTCTTAAAACGTTCATATTATGTCCATGGACGTTTGGACTAAATAAAAACCAAAACTGGACGTCCATTGGACATGGTGTGCTGTCTGGGTGGTGCATTCTGCAAGGATTTTTGCGGCAAATACGAATCATAAAATCACGACAAATCATTATTAAAGTTGAAACAAATATTTGTAATAATACAGAACACAAGCAAAAAAATCATATGAGCAGATAACGACACGAGCGAGATTTATTATTAAATCAAGTATAAGGTTAGGTCTACAATAGGTGTAATAAGTCTTAAGGCGTCTTTAGATGGAAGCGTTTAGCGTCAAGCGTCGAGTAGAATTATGCGCAAGGGTACTGCGCACATGTTTTTGACGATCGACGCTTGACACTAAACGCTTCCATCTAAAGACACCTTAAGACTTATTACCACTGAAATATATCTATACTGGAAGAGGCACTGGCTTTGTTTGCCGTAGACGGAAAGCGTGCCTGCGATAGATAGATGTTTAGGGATTGCTATCTCGTTTTTTCCGGCGCTGCGTCTGCGCAGAACGAAACAAGTCACATGATGTACAGGCGAAATCGAAAGTTTAGTTTTTTGCTTGGCTTATTGAGGTAACGGTGGCAATGTGGCATGTTCTGAAACATTTTATTTTAATCAATTCGAAAAAAGACATTAATGTCAAATTCTTGATGTTTGAAATAGATTTTGTGTTTCAATAATATAAAAGAAAAATGGTGAAACATTGCTGTGTAAAAAATTGTCGAAATGTTTGGATTCCTAACACTAACCTCACATTCCATACGTAAGTATTTTAATTCTTATATTATTCAAATTTATATGTTTCACTTATACTTATTATATAGTAAAGCAACTTATCTGAAATAATTATTGAAATGTTATATTTATTGTTTTAAGTTTTCCATGGAGTAATAAAGAACGCTTGGAAGAATGGATAAGTGTCGTGCCAAGCAAGAGTCGTATTGGAAAATATTCATATATTTGCAGTGCACATTTTAACGACACTGATTTTTTAAATGTGGGAACAAATCAACAATTAAAAAAAAATGTTGTGCCAAGTAATTTTAAAGACAGTGATGAGTTATCAAAAGTGAGTGAATTTTAATTTAATAATTTATGTTAAATACTGTTGTGAATAGACTCTTCCGGGGATATATCAATTAGATTTAATTAGTTACAGATCATGCCGCCAATCTATGTAATGGATCAAAATGCTGTTGTATCATCATCATCACACATTTTGAAGCCAAGTTCTGCAATTGAGCATCTTGCGTTAAAAGAAAATCTACCACATATTGTTGTTGCATCATCATCACTGCAGATTTCGAAGCCAAGTTCTACAATTAAGTACCTTGTGTCAAAAGAAAATCTACCACATATGTCTTATATTTCTGAATCGAAGGTAAATATATTTGTGTTATTGTTCTACCTAAAAATTATATGCATTGGTTACTTTTAAAATTAATTACTTATATTTTTTATAGGAAACTCAAACTGAACAAAACATGCAGGAAATTGTTCAAGAAAAAGAAGCCACTAAAAGAAAAATAAAAGCTCTACAGGAAAAATTACGTCGTCGGGAGAAAAAACTAACTAAAGTATTGATGCTGATAGAAGTTCTGAAAACAAAAGGCATATGTCCCGAACAATTAGAGAAAGAGCTGGTAAAAAACTTTTCCGATGATGTGTTAGAACTTTTCAATAATGAAGTAGAAAATCATGGAAAGAGTAAATTTAGGCATCGATATACGGAAAAAATGAAAGAGTTTGCATCAACTATTTATTTTTACTCTCCTAAAGCTTACAAATATTTACGAACAAAATTGATGTTACCTGATGATTCAATACTTCGAAAGATGATTAATAAAACGTCTTGTAATGCAGGATTTTTAGATGATGTTTTTGAGTATCTCAAATCAGAAAAATTTAAGTCAAACAACATATCAGATGTTGGATTAATAATAGATGGGATGTCAATTAGAAGTAGCATTTCTGTAGATCAAAAAGAAAATTCCTTGCGTGGAAACGTAGACTATGGTAATGCAGCACCTCTATTGAATATTCCGGATCAAGAAGTACTAACCAAAGAAATGTTAGCATTTCAAATCGTTTCTTATTCTATCAAATTTGTCTATTCTATCAAGTGCCAATAGCACACTTCTTTATTAATGGCATTTCATTTGAAATTCAGACAAAACTAATTCAAGAAGCAATAAAAAGATTATACTATTCAGGAATAATAGTGCGTTCTATTACCTGTGATGGTACTAAAACTAATATTCATACTATGGTAAATCTAGGCTGTAATTTTGATTTAACAGAAGACAGAAAACCTGTTACTTTTTTCAAACATCCATATAATAATTCTAACATATATATAATCATGGATCCCTGTCACATGTAAAATTATGTCGTAATACGCTTGCTATGAAATACATCATCACCTCTTCACTTGGAACAATATCATTTCAATAGATTCTGCACAATCATCAACAAGAAATTGGTCTCAAATACGCTAATAAATTATCCTCGTCACATATTAATTTTTACAACAAAAAAATGAAGGTATGCTTGGCAACACAAACCATTAGTAGTGGTGTGGCTGATGCCATTGACTTTTTAAGAACTTCAAATCATCCCAACTTTCAAAATAGTGAAGCTACTACTCAATTTTTACGAATTTTCGACAAATTATTTGACATAATGAATTCAAGGAGTGCTTATGGTAAGGGCTTTAAATCTCCATTGACATTGCAAAATAAAAATTACTGGTTTAATGTTTTTAGCGAATGTGAAAAATATATTCGAAAGCTGAAAATTGATAATAAACCTATTATATTTTCAAAAAATAAAACTTTTGCATTAGGTTTTATTATTGATATTTACAGTTTTCAAGGATTAGCACTTGATTTGTTGACCAACATATCAACGCCTCTAAAATATTTCTTTACGTATAAAACATCCCAAGATCACATTGAACTGTATTTTTGTTGTATTCGGTCTCGTGGCGGATGGAACAATAATCCTAATGTCTTGCAAGTATTGTGGTCAATACGCCGATTATTGTATCGTAACTCCGTTACACCAAGCATTAATGCTAACTGTTCATCTGATGCAGATTATTATAATTCAAATCCAATTTTTCAGTTTCGATTACAAAAACGTATAAATGATGAGAGAAATATTACTGAAAACGAAGATGATGTGACAGAAATTGTAGACTTAATGCAAGCTTTAGAAAATGTTGAATTAAATCAGTACCAGGAAAATATAATAAGTTACATTGCAGGTAATATTGTAAAAAAGTTTATTGATAAGTGCATTTGTTCCCATTGCCATGAATTAGTTTTGTCTGTTTTACATAAAGAACACGACTATACAGCACCCAATATTAATGATTCTTTGTCATTTATAAAATTTGTAAACAGGGGAAAACTGTGTGTACTATCCAGAGGAATTTTTGAAATTATTAAATATTGTGAAAAATTGTTTAGAGCTCAAATTCAAATTATTGGTAAAACAAATAGTGTAAACTTTCAGACAAAAATATGTGGTGCTGCTGTTCAATATTTTTTGCCAAATATTTCGAAATTGTTTTCTTCTGTGCATCCTATCACTGAGACTGTTCATGACTTTAATGAATTACACGAAATAGATAGATAGATAGATAGATAGATTTTATTCTTGCCCTTTACGGGGTACAAGAGGACCACCGTTCCTCTTACAAATCTCTCTTTTACATATTCCTTCTCTCTCTCTACTCTCGCTCCCTACTACCGCACGCCGCCACCGCACGCCGCCGCCGCACGCCGCCGCCGCACGCCACCTCCGCACGCCATCGCTACCCTACTCTCTCTCCCCTCTCTCCCTCTTTCCGCCAGACCATTCTCTCTCTCTCTCTCACTCTCTCTCTCTCTCCCACTCGCTCCATCCACTGTCCGTTCGTCTCTCGTCTCTCCCCCCTCTCCAACCTCCCTCAGCTTCTGCAGTCTCCTCATCCATCCCTCCCCCCTTCCATCCTCTTCCAGAATCTCCAGTATCTTCTCTCTCCCCCCTCTCCCTCCTCTCTCATGCATACCTCCACCACATGTTCCCACGATTCTTCTTCCCAACCGCATATCCTACACCTCCTCCCCTCCTCCCCTTCCCAATATCTCCCTTCCCTCATTTCACTCCCCAATCTAAACCTCGCTATCATTATCATCCTTCCCTCCCTCCCCTTTTCTTTCAAATATTCCGGTATCCCTACCACTCTCACCTCCTTATACCATCTATTCCATCTAGACTTCTCCACCCTCTCGAATCTCCCCTGCTGTTGAATCTCTATATCCCTCCTCTCTATCTCCTCTCGTATTCCCCTTCCTTCCTCCCTCTTCCTCCTCACCCACTCCGTTGATACACCCCTCTCCCTATAAAAATCCCTTCTTTGCCTTTCCCATTTTGACATCCCCT